TGTATAATTTGGCCCCCAGCAGCACCCCATTTATGCATGTTCAGGTGAGTGCAGCCTGCAGCCATCCCCCTTGTAATACATATATATATATATATATATATATATATATATATATATATATATATATATATACATGTATATTGATGTGTGTATTAGTAACATATAATTATGCCTATAATATTTACACATATAGTAATGTACATTTATTTATGCATAATACACACATAAATGTCATTAAATATGTCATTATATATATATATATATATATATATATATATATATAATGAGCACGTATTGGCCCTGTCTTGTTGCTAGTTGCATACTCATGCACAATAACATATTCAAAGTGAAGAGCGCACCCATAGAACTTCAAAATAAACAAGATCACTTCATTTTTTTAGTTGTGCAACTGCAGACATTCAGCATTTCAGTACCATTACTAAAATGTCCTTAATAGGCCAAAGTAGTTGTACTGAAACATTACATGCAAATATACGTCTACTTAAAATAAAGGCGCTCTTTTGTTTATTTTGAAGCCCTATATGCGTTCCTTCGTTGGAGTAAGAGTTTTTAATTTCAAGTTATTTTTTCACCCTCTTTATCAGCACACTATGCTGGCGCGACGCATTATTGGGCTGGTATAGAATTTTTTTCCAGGGCTGATTTTAGGTCCCAGTCCGGCCCTGTGATTCACTATTAACATGGAAGGAATGGGAATTATAATGGCTAATGCATACAGTTACTAGAGTCTCACTTATAATGTTAAAAGAACACTACAGGCACTCAAACAAAACGTTAATTACTTAATGAAGCAGTTTTGGTGCATAGATCATGCCTTTGCAGTTTCACTGCTCAGTTCTCTGCCATTAGTTCATAATTTGTGTTTCCAGAGCCGAGGGACATCGCTGCTGGAATCATTTAAGTTAATCCGTTTTAACACCTTCTTCACCATGGCATGGGGGATGTTGGGGGTGAAGGGCTACAAGAGGGGGAAGGGGGCAGGGCTCGAGTCCTGCAGGAACGCATGGGAACGGCGTTCCTGCACTTTTTCCACAGCAGGAACGCCGTTCCCGTTACCTGTCCTGCAGGACCGGCCCTGCTACCTGCACTGAGGGGCCGTCACATGCTGTGTTCCCTTCTCCAGCTATAACTCTCGCGAGACCCGCGGCTGTTACCATGGCAACGCTCCGCACAGGCGAGTCTCGCGAGAGTTAGAGCTGGAGAAGGAACACAGCGTGTGATGGCTCCTGTGTGCAGCGGCTGGCTCCCTCCACCGGACCACCAGGCGATCTCCCCCCTCCCTGACCAGGTAAGAAGCAGGGAGGGGGGAATAAAATAAACAAATATACATACACATAAAGTTTTAAAAAAAATGCTCCCCCCCCACCCACCCATCATCCAGCCCTCACACACCCATCATCCAGCACACACACACCCATCATCCAGCACTCACACACCCATCATCCAGCACTCACACACCCATCATCCAGCACACACACATCATCCAGTACTCACACAAACACCCATCATCCAGCACTCACACATCATCCAGCACTCACACACACATCATCCAGCACTCACACACACACCCATCATCCAGCACACACACACCCATCATCCAGCACTCACACACCCAGCACTCACACACACACACACACACACACACACCATCCAGCACTCACACGCACACCATCCAGCACTCACACGCACATCATCCCGCACACACACACAAATCATCCTGCACTCACACACACATCATCCAGCGCACTCACACACATCATCCAGCACACGCACACACTGCATTCATTATACACACTCTTCACTCACTACAAACACACTATATTCACTATACACCCTCTGCATTCATTATACACATTCTGCACTCACTACACACTACATTCACTATACACACTCTGCATTCACTACAAACACACTACATACACTGCATTCATTGTACACACTCTGCACTCACTACAAACACACTAAATTCATTATACACAATTTGCACTTAAAGGACCACTCTAGGCACCCAGACCACTTCAGCTTAATGAAGTGGCCTGGGTGCCAGGTCCTTCTAGGGTTAACCCATTTTTTTATAAACATAGCAGTTTCAGAGAAACTACTATGTTTATTAATGGGTTAAGCCTTCCCCCTATTCCCTCTAGTGGCTGTCTCATTGACAGCCACTAGAGGCGCTTGCGTGCTTCTCACTGTGATTTTCACGGTGAGAGCACGCCAGCGTCCATAGGAAAGCATTGTAAATGCTTTCCTATGAGACCGGCTGAATGCGCGCGCAGCTCTTGCCGCGCGTGCGCATTCAGCCGAAAGGGAGGATCGGAGGAGGAGAGCTCCCCGCCCGGCGCTGGAAAAAAGGTAAGTTTTAACCCTTTCCTCTCCCCAGAGCCGGGCGGGAGGGGGACCCTGAGGGTGGGGGCACCCTCAGGGCACTATAGTGCCAGGAAAACGAGTATGTTTTCCTGGCACTATAGTGGTCCTTTAACTACAAACACATTACATTCATTATACACACACTGCACTCACTACAAATACACTACAATTATTATTCACACTGCACTCACTACAAACACACTACATTTATTATTCATACTCTGCATTCACTACAAACACACTACATTCATTATACACACCCTGCACTGCACTATATGCATAGGAGTGTATTTTTTTATTTATTTATTTTTTAAGGGGGGGGGGGGCGGGAATCTTGGGTGAGTTCCCACACTTTTTTCCCCAGGACTTGACCCCTGGAAGGGGGGGTCACTCTAGGGAGCTAAAGCTTTGTTTTCCTGGCACTATAGTCTGCCTTTAATCGTTTATGTAGCGCGAAATTCAGCCAGTCACAGTACAGTAAACACACTGTCTGGTAAATGTGTTTTGTGACTAATGCTTTGATCACAATCATTCAATGCACATACATTTAATTGCAGGTTAATATGGTAACATATAAACAACATGTATTATGTCTTTATCAGCAGCTGTGTGTATTATTATTATTATTATTATTGGTATTTATATTCAGAGTCTCAGACCGGAATAGGGAATTTACCTCTAAATCCAGTGTCAACAAGAGCATCTTGAAGGGCACTGACAAATCCGTATCCTTTTTGGATATACCTATACCTTCAGATACCAATGAGACCTCCACTATATCCCCTACCTCATCCACCTTTTTAGAACAGGAACTCCCTCGCCAACAGAGGGGGAGATTAAGGGACAGAGACAGATGGGCATACAAGGTACATGGACATACTCAGAAATTTTAACATCCAACAGAATAATACATTTGTCAGATTTCACCCTTCAACCCAGACATATTTCTCTACTAAGCAAAGGATTATACTTTGTACTGATCCGATCATGCAATAAATGTAATTGGTCCAAAGATAATAACTTGTTTGGCAATAAGTTGGCCTTGAATATCATACATACCAAAAAAGACTCAAATTGCCAACCATCTAGGTTTGACGACTCAAGACTACCACTTTGCACAGACCATCACTGACCTTTTTGAAGGAGCGAAATCCATCTAAACCATTAACGAATCTTAAACCTCAAAGTGGTAGGCAGGCTATTCAAAAGGAAAGGAGCCGACCCGCAAGAAGTCCGGCAAGCATGAGTTGGCTGTACAGGTGCGAGCAGCGGACAGGCGAAGGTCATGGGCAGAGCGGAGAGACCAAGAAGGGGCATATATAGGAGCGAATGGAATTGTTCAGTGCTTTATAGGTGTGGAGTAGTACTTTGACTTGACTCCTCTATCTATCTATATATATATATATATATATATATATAGCCAGGCCCGGACTGGCCATCGGGCACACCGGGCAAATGCCTGGTGGGCCGCGGTGGCCATGGGCCGAGGCCGGCAGGGGAGGTCCCAGGATCTCTCCTGCCGGTCTATGCAGGGCCGGCGCTATCCGAGTGCCGGCCCCGCTGTTTGCCACGACGGACCGGTGGGGAGATCAAAGATCTCCCTCACCGGCCCAAATGCGGCCGCCGACGGGGAGAGAGGGAGGGAGACAGCCAGGAGAGGAGGACCCGGCGGAGCTCTAACTTGCAGCTCCGCCGGGTTCCTCTCGAGAGATCCGGCGCGTTGCCATGTCAACGACCGGCTCTCGCCAGAGTGAACTCTAGCCCCACAGGCTAGAGTTCACTCACCCACAAGGATCACCAGGGAACACTGCCTCCTAGTCCCAGGTACCAGCGTGCGGGTCCCCCCCCTCCCAGGCTAAAGGTAAGAAGGGAGGGGGGGATTTAATGCCTGTTTTTTGTTTTTGTTTATTTACCCCCCCCCAATACACACACAATCCATTCTAACATTTATGCAGCACTCTCTCACACAGCACTCTCTCACACCCATCACACACAGCACTCACAC